TCACAAATAACAATCATAGGATACTAGTTAGAAACAAAACTTAGTAAATATTTTTGGATGATCAGCAGAACAGAAGTGTACTCTTGTAACACAAGTTATTCCAATATTTCGGTAAAGTTTATTATCATATTGTCAAGGAAGAGCTACAAAAAGTTATACAATGATATATATTTGTTACAAAAAGGCTCAACTCACTGTTAGTGAGGATGGCCGTGTCGAAAAGAATTTCACATTTGAACAGTTGGAACATGTCAATAAAATAAAAGAAGTCACCACATTAAAACAGATTCGACTCCTCACTATATGAGGAAGATTATTCAAATTTGCATAACAAAATCATTGTATGATTTGAAATTATAAAATACTGGTAAAAGCCATGTGGCTGCAGACCACAGAGAGAGATAATAATACAGTTGACACTGACAGCTGTCATGTGATTCAGTTTTGTGTAGGTCTTCCTTGATAATGATAATGAACTTCATCGAAATATTGGAATAACTTGTGTTATTGTAATAATTTTTTTAGGATTTTGGAGAACCAATGAGAAAGGCAGCTGAAGAATGTCACGATATTTGTACAGACGTGACTGGAACGACAGACGAGCAGGTTCAACAGATTAGAGAGGGAAACTTCATAGATGATGAGAAGATGAAGGTATGTTTGTCATCATAATTAAAAATTTTGTGAAAAGTAGCAGAAACAGGCACAATTCTCGATAACCAATATGGGATGGATGTAAGAATGATATCTATGAGTCAGCCGAGAAACTACAGCTGTTCAATTTTTTGAAGATGAATAAATATATTGCATGGAATAACGTTGAAATTGTTTCACATCTTATGCGAATGTGACGGACTGAATCACAGGAGGCAGGCAATATATGGACGTATGAAATTACGTCCAGAAGAATATGACGAACATCCAACACGGAACCTGTACAAACTGGTACAGAGAACGAGACTGATGGAATGGGTGTCAGGAGAAGATGGGAGAACAAACGCAATAAGCCCAAGAGGCTGCAGTGTTTCCTGGAGACTTGGACTAAATGGACAAGTCAGACAGCTCCCAAGGTACAAAAAAAACTGTCGATTTCATATGCTGATGATAATTCTACACTAGTAAATTCGAATGACCAAGAACATATGACCAACCATCTCAATACATGCAAAGCCTCCTTGTTAAACTGGTCATGAAATGGTCTCGTACCAAATGCTTATTTAAGACTAAGCTCATGGTATTTGCCACGAGAAAATCTTACTATCTTTGCAATTACTTTGAACAACAAGGCCATTCAGCTGACCAACACCGCAAAATTTTCAGGGCTCCATACTAAATGAAATCACGTGCTGGGGACACTCGAGAAAAAAACTACCACATGTATAGGTTTTAGAGAAACTGACTCCTTTTGAAATCGAAATGTTTCAAAAACCAACTATCATCATTAGAAAATATTGTTGTAATCGTCTCCCGATGTTGTCGTTTTGGGTCAAATAGCCAGCAGTAACGTGAAATTCATCTTCACTTGTTATTTGCTCCTTATAACGAATCGCTTTTATTAATTATGAATTATTCTTCTTTTACAGAGATACATACTGTGCCTTTGGAGGGTTGCCGGATACGTGAGTAACAATAATATTAAATCTAAATAAATGAACTTTGAATATTCAAGCCCGTCTCGGATAGAAGCGAGAGCTTCTCAACTCTCCAACTCTTGATCCAACAACTGAACTTCAAGAGAAAGGTTTGGTGGTGCAACCAGGAAACGACTGAGTCATCTCCTCAAGAGCGGTGTACCTTATGAAACCGCCTTGCACCAAATTATTGAGAATCTGTCTCAAACCCCCCATGAGCAGGTCAGCAAACTTTTACGCTCAAATGATGATTCACCAAAACCAGAGGCGAATAAACCCTGCACGGTTGAATCTAAGACATCGTCAGGTGTAGCTGACGTGCAAAAACCCTCATATGGAAAGGTTGTCGTGGGAATCAAGGTAGAAATCTTGCAACTTGACTATCCGACTACCTCAATGATATACTTTGTGCCTGCCCCGCTGGGGACAGAATCAGGTCTTTAGAGTTCGGCAGAGCCGTACTCTTACCATCTGACCTGAAAGACCACTCACCATACAAACTAATCGGCTTTGTTAAGAAGCTGGGTTCATTTGGCCGAGTATGAATAAGTATGAACCACAATGGTTTTAGAAGACAGAGTTATGATTGGATAGAATCGTACATTAAACAGAGAACTCAGATTGTGAGAACACATAGGCTCTCAGATGGAGGTTCCGTCGAGTGTGGGGTTCCTCAGGGCTCAGTGCTGGGACCAATTTTGTTCTTACTGTATTTTAACGACTATGGCAATACAACTGAAAGAGTCGACCTTCAATTCTGGAACGGGCACATTTGCAGACCGTTTCGGGCTCCTTAGCCACTCGTCAGTGCAAGATAGTAGCCATCATCGACCTGAAGTCAATGATATTCCGTGATTGAAAATTGGAATTTTTTCAGAGTATTTCATCCTAGTCGTAAGTTGGAGCGAACATCAAACATGTCACTCCATCTAGTGGACGAGGTACTAAACAACTGCATATTCGAAATTTACCCGATACCTCTGAATACTCCGAAAGAATAATATTAACCAGGTTATATTTCTCCAGCAGACATTTATACTAATGAATTGCTCGAAAACATAGCAGGTTCAGACCGCTTTTATTATGACGTCAGGAATTGTCTATAGTCATAGTCTGTCTTCAGTTAGCTCTGCTGAAAACTGGGTTGTTAGTAATTTCCTTATTATTTTTGCTGTTGAATGATCAATTTTTGTATTCGATTCAGTCTCATACCAAAAACATTTTTATTTTGCTCTGTGAATCATGTTCAACAAATGTAATTGTTTGTCAAACTGTACTTTGAACTGCGAATGTTGATTCAATTTATTCGAAATGAGCGCCATTTGAATAAGTGCTGTTTTGCTAACGTAACTTCATCAATTTATTCCGTCAGCATGGAAATTGTTTGCTCGAAATTTGATAAAATCGATGATCCACATGGAAAAACCTATCCCTAGTAGAAAATACAACAGAGCAGACCTGAACCCTATAGATGTAACACGACTATAATGAATAATCATAGAGATTTTTCCAAATCGTCTTACGTTCCCCCACTTTTTCCGATCCAGGATCTTTCTCAACTGATTTTAAAACCTTCACCTTCATTTCTGTTGTTCTTAGGGCTAGTTGGACACTTTTTATATTATTGCCTAGTTCAAAACGCCTCTTCTCGGTCAACCACCCATGGCAATATTCATAATTCCCACTTAGAAAATCAGTTGGGTATTACTTTCCTCTTTGGTGCCCGCGCGGAAGCCACTGTCAAGAATAGATAATGAACTGGTATAGTTAGTTATAAACTGACTTTTGATGCAAAAATGCGTACCTACTACTTGTCACAGAAATATATTGATACATATGTTATCATGTTTTTTTCTGAAACTTTAGTATCCTGTCGTTCATAAGATGAGACTCACAGAACATATGGTCATATGAAGTTTTCATTTTCGAAATGAGCTCAAAAATATTCTCTCCAAATATCAGCATGTCCTATAAAACACCATGTAGGTGTATAACGATCGATCCTTTCTTGATTAGACTGAGTCAAAATGGCCTACTTTCACTATTTGCAACATGATAGAATTCGAAATGACTTCATTGAAAGTATAATTAGTTGAATTAGTGACTGACCACATTAAAATAACTGCCGTGTTGTAAATATCATCTTCTAGAGTACGGAAACTATTCTTTTCACTCCGGAAGACGGCCATATTGAGAAAAATTCTAACAATCGATCAAGAATCCCAAAAATCAATAATAATATAGAATAATATGTGATAAATTGAGGAAGGCCTTAGATCCTTCCTCAGTTCATCACATGATTTACCCTCATTACATTTTTTTGAATGATTTTAACTATTACAGATGGACAGAAACTTGAAAATTAACGTGGCAAAAGTGAGACAGGTCTTACCACAGGAGTTGATAGATTCTGGTTGTCACAGTGCAGCGGTGAAATGTTTGAATGAAGCTAGAAATTCAGGTAAAAATTACAGATTTAAAGATATTGAGATATGATTTTCAAATGAGTCGTACACGCTGCTAAAAAAATAGAGTGAGTTTTCGTTTTTACAAAAAATATCCATTCACCCATCAATTTTTTTTTGCCCTCTTCAGAGTCACAGGGGGCCAATAATTGTCTCAAATTTTCTTAACCACTTCAATTAATATAATTGAAAATACTATATACAAACAGAATTAGTCATGATAGAGAATTCTAGTAAAATTTTTCGAAGCTAATGCTTCACTGCCTTCTTGAGGATAACACAAATTATTTCCATCGGCAGAAATCATTCTTGAAGATCGGTTGTTTTGACGTAACGAGTTTTCTATAACGTTACATCTTGAATTTTTTTTTTCTGAAAAAAAAACAAATATATCTTCGAACTGATGAATCAGGTACCTGGCAAAAGTATACCTTTAGTTCAAAGTAGGGGACGGTGAATGATCACCCGACCATCTATAAAATACCATCCATTTGAAAATAGTATTCATCTGAAAAGCTTTCTTTATGCTTCTCCTTCATTGTTACTAGTGCTGGAGATTTTTTGTTCCTGTGTCTTTCTTCTGTTTGGATTTTTTTAGAGATTTTTTTATAAGTACATCCGACATTCTTAAGATTATTACTGCTTTCAGGTCTCAAGGAGAACTATGAGAAGATCTATGAACTGGAGAAATGTTTGTACAAAATTGATCCACAGGTGAGTTCGGTGCTTTCACAAAATTGTTGTTGATGAGCCGCTGTTCTCTATATGTAAACTATGCACATCTTCACAGTGCATCATAATGGACAAAATATCATAATGTCGCTCGAAAATAACTAATGAATTCGTATCTTGGTATACCGATCTGTATCTGTAGAGTCAGGAGGGTGCCACTGGGTCCTAACATTCTCAGTCCAGCCGCTTCCTTGGCTAAAGAGTCGGCAATGCGATGACCTTTACTCCTGTCGTGCCCTTCAACCCACCTCAGGATAATGTTATTATCTACCGAGACTTTGGCTTTGGCTAAATCTTAGTGGCACTCTAGTACTAGCCCTGAGGTTACACGTTATTTGTTCAAGGCTAACAGGGCTTGTCTGCTGTCAGTGCAGATTGTTAGGTTTTTGCCAGAAACTCCTTTCCTGGTTATTTCCTTTGTGGCGATTGAGATACCAGCCAGTTCTGTTTGGACCACGTTGGTATTTTTTCCCATTCCCCACTTAATCCTCAGTCTTTGTGATCTGGAGTACACTCCACATCCTGAGCCTTCTGGTATACCGACACACGTGTGACTTTGAAAAAGTCAATTTTTTTTTTCAAATGTTAACTAGTTGGGAAAGGAATCAAAAATTCTTCGTTGATGAACAATTCAGTTTTTTTGCCAACGTTCCGGACTTGATAGCGTATTCATTTCCAATGTGTCTGTGGTTGTATGCGTTTCACGTAGTTACTCCTTATTTTCGTTCGTTTCCATACCTACGTTGTCTGTTATATATATTCTTAACTTTGTTTTAACATGAATGAACTGCTGTTCAGTAAGTCCACTTGTTCGGCTTTTAATTTCTTTTTACAAAATATGAGATTAGTGAAAAGTATATTAATTTGCAATATGTATTGGCGTGATACAGTTTCCTTGTGGAATTATTTCATTATAGAGTCCTGATGATGGATTCAATAAAATCCGAAACGATGGCAAAAACTAAATGTTTTCTACACACTTTCATAGACAGCGACGATGTTTACGGGGGATCTTGCGTTTCGTCGACGTACGGGTGTTGTTCGATTGTTTATTGAACCAGTGTACTCAAATTCGATCATGCGATTATGCGAAAGCGCGCGGTACGTTGCCCCAACATAACAACCATTTCGATAAAACAGTTTAATTATTTACACGTATCGTAGAATGCTATATCCGTCAATGGTGATTTGGCAAAAATAGAGTGAATAAATGTCAACTGATTTGACAGATATATCTTCAAAAAAGAGGTCGTTATCAATTGTCAGAGTTTGGGAATTTCTGTTGGAAAACCTAATTTTATTCAGAATTTCATGAAAATTCACAGACTCATGTTCTAAATGAATTCCCCCAACATTTTATAGTAATATATCATTTTATGTATTTCAGAAATTCGTCATGTTTTGAGTAGCCTAAACCGACGCAGATGTGGAAAGTAAGTGAATGTATTAGTGATACATGGAGAATAAAGAACATCAATTCAAACCTTTGTTTTCTTTCACATGAAAGCTTATTTTCTGGTCTAACGAAAGTAATCTGAGCCTGGTCGCACATTGGGAACTTTATTTGAGCATCTTTTCATACAAGAAAATTGAATATATTATTTTTAATGAGAACTTGCTCACAGGAAATCATTCAGTTGAGGAAACTGATGAAATCAAATTACTGTGTATCAGACAATGAACCGAGACTAAAAAGTTGCCAGAGAGCCGAAACTTCTCATGTTGATATACAGCAACAAAAATTCACTGATTTCAGTAGGATATATAAGGAACCAAACCACGCCACCTAATTCAATTTTAGTTTCGTTCGATGTAAAGACTATGTTCTCCAACATACCATACAACGAGTGTGAGCCCCTCATTTTAGACATATTAGATCACGCAAAAGTAGACCATAATACTTCCTTTGAAGTTTCAACAGCTTTCGATGCGTGCCTAAATCCGAGCTACATACAATTCAACAACAAATTTTATAAACAGGATTCAAGTTTACCAATGGGCTCACCCCTTAGTCCACTTCAAACAGATATATTTATGAACACCTTGAAGACCACTAGTAAATTCCAACCTGGGTAAAAAACATATTTATTTTTGGTTTCAACGCAAATACTATCCAGAAGTTAGTCAGGAAACAAAGCCGGAAATTCACTTACAGATTAATATATCCTCAGATCAAACAACCAGAAACGCTAACGTGGGTAACGCTAACATATTTTGGAAAAAGAACAGAAATAATCGCAGGTTTCTTCAGAAAAAACAATGTGGAAGTAGCATTCAGACCACATGCCAAGTTATCTCATTTCCTTTTCAATGCCAAAGATAAGGTCGACAAGTTGGAAAAATCTGGAGTTTATAAGCATAAGTGTCCGGAGTGTAATAGTGTTTATGTGGGACAATGCGGACGAAATTTCCAAAAACGATATCTGAACATGAAAGGTCCTTCAGACTGGGAAAAAATTATTCGATGTTTTCAAACCATTCCTTGGCATGCTACCACAATTTTCCGAACCTAAGCAATACGGAAATTTTACACTATGCAAGGAAGGGTTTCAAACTCAGTTATTTAGAATCCTTGGAAAAACATTGCGGGCACATCCGCATTGTAAACAGTAAATTTAGGTACTCAATTAAGCCAAGTACACTCACAGGGGTGGTATATAAGGGTTAATTTATAGGACGAAACTGCAGTAACGTTAATTACAAATAAAAGTGGTAAAAACATAGAAAATTTGAATTCTCTTTCCTTCATTATGATTTCCTACCACGTAGTAGCGGCTACATCCATCAATTTACAAATGGTTTTGTCGGTAAAAACATGAAGAATTCAAGAGTAATTGTAATATAGTACAATAAAGTTTATCGATATGGGAACTACTTTCATTTATGTGGAACTACATCACAAATAACAATCATAGGATGAAATGAAGTATTGAAATGAATGAATTTTTTCTAATGTCATAAACTTCACTGTAAAAGACTTTTGCCATTTTTGAAAGGATCAACAAGAGAATCAAGAAAACTTTAATGAATATTTGGAAAATAGGAACCAACGAATCAATATCTTTCCACCCTTGCCCTTATCAATCAAATTTCAGAAATACAGATGTATTGGACCAGTTATTTTTCAACTTTCATACAAACGAAATGAACGCCTGATTCTGAAAGCATTCTCTTATGCCGATATAAGCATTATCGACAAGTTATTCTACGAATCAATCGTTTTGCATGAAGTTCATCATCATCAACAAAGTTGTGTACTGTACAAAACTCATTTTTTTCACATAAAGAGAGTAGAGGGTTAGCCAAAGGCTATCCTGTACCTTACCCCGTGAAATAAACAGATGTTTTGATGAGTAGATGTGAATATAACATAAAGTACTTAACCCTAATACATTCTAATGATTATCCAACCTACAATATACTCGTGTAGTATGCATATAACTAGAAACAAAGAACGAATCATTTCGGGACCCTACCTCAGGATAATGTTATTATCTACCGAGGCTTTGGCTAAATCTTGCTGGCACTCTAGTACCAGCCCGGAGGTCCCAGTGAGAATAATATCACATAAAACGGATCAAAACGCGAAAATCAGTTCACCATATTCCTGTCCGTGAGTACTTAGACTTAACACGCTATTAATACAAGACAGCGAAATGACTCACGTGTCATCTTCAAGGACTGATCTTTTACATAGTTGCATTACAAGCCCAAAGTTCAGGTGAAAAACAGCTTACCCCTTGCCCCTTATGTGGACCTACGATTTTGTAGGTACGTCTGGCAGATACCCAGCCAATGCCCCGCAGAAAGCTGAAGTAAAACAATCAGGCACCTGTGCAACGTCTTCCATTTAGAAAATTCGTCGCAAGTTACTACCTGCATATGAAAAGCAGAAATTGATTTCACTTGGTATGAGTAACCGATAGACTGGTTTCGGAGTGTTGCCCATCATCAGTACCTGGCAGGTCACTTCAGACGCAGTGAACCGTCTGAGTATCCCGACCAAACCAAATTGATTCAAGGAAGTCATAAACTCTCTCTACATTGATTCAATAGAATAGCTGCAGCGCGATCTGCAGCATTATCCCAGATAATGCCACGCAGAAAACTGAAATAAAAACCATCAGGCACCTGTTCAACAATTATATCAAGCAAAATAAACTGAAATTACAATGAAATTACATACAAGTAACAATAAAAAAATTGAACTAATAAAACGAGATGAAATTTTAAAATTATCAACAAGAAATGAAAATTAAAAGAATCCAAGCCAAGTTACTTCACGACGCGGCGTTTCGATTGTTAGTATCCACAATCATCATCGGGTGATGACTATTTATAGGTCATTCGAGTGCTTTCACCTATCCCGTCTTTACTCTTCCGCTTAATCGGTGTTTTAGCAGGAGCGCTGACCACTGGGCAGTATTGGTCGTGTTCCGCTTGATTATAGTTTTCCATATGTTGCGTATCTCTACGCTATCTTGGCTAAATGCGTTGTTGGACAACATATATGCGGCTTTCTTGAATTTTCTCCGAAACCAGTGTTCCTCCTGGTGGATAATTTCCGCTTGGGACCACTTGATGTTATGTTGATGAGTCCAAACATGCTCTGCTATTCCTGATATGCTGGTTTCTCCTCACTGTGTGTGTTTTTTGTTCTCAGAAATGCAAACTCCTATAGGCCTCTTAGTTTCACCGATGTATGATTCTTCGCACTCGCAGGGTATCCGGTAGATGCAATTTTTGCGGTCGCAAGCCAAGCTAGCGTAGAAATATGCAACATATTATGGAAAACTATAATCAAGCGTAACACGATCAACTCCCGCCGAACTGTCGGCTCAGCTCTGTCAGCTGTCAGCTACCGGCGTCGATCACCGGTAGGCATGTGTGCCAGGTCCCGTTCCCACATATGGTTCACTATTGGAATTTGGACGACCGGTATAATATCGGTGATCGGTGAATATCGGTGATCAGCGTCGATCACCGGTAGGCATGTGTGCCATGTGTTTGACGATAGTCGTATCACTAAGTGTTCTGGCGATGTCTTGAATTTATTGGAGCCTCTGGAGACACCCTACATTCTGTTTTATAAGAGAGAGGACATTGTTAGATCAAGATATTCAGATGATGTGGTGCTGCAGGTTTTTCCGGGTTTTCCTGCAGCTGAAAAAGCAAATACGCCACTGAAATCAATGAAGTCTCCCCGGAGCGCCAATTAATTCTTATTGTTGTTTCATAATTTCATGATTTGTAACACTTTTTCTCCAATTTTTTTTTAATGGAAATTCACCCTATTTTTTGAATAGGCCTTGTATTAATACGGAAATTTTACACTATGCAAGGAAGGGTTTCAAACTCAGTTATTTAGAATCCTTGGAAAAACATTGCGGGCACATCCGCATTGTAAACAGTAAATTTAGGTACTCAATTAAGCCAAGTACACTCACAGGGGTGGTATATAAGGGTTAATTTATAGGACGAAACTGCAGTAACGTTAATTACAAATAAAAGTGGTAAAAACATAGAAAATTTGAATTCTCTTTCCTTCATTATGATTTCCTACCACGTAGTAGCGGCTACATCCATCAATTTACAAATGGTTTTGTCGGTAAAAACATGAAGAATTCAAGAGTAATTGTAATATAGTACAATAAAGTTTATCGATATGGGAACTACTTTCATTTATGTGGAACTACATCACAAATAACAATCATAGGATGAAATGAAGTATTGAAATGAATGAATTTTTTCTAATGTCATAAACTTCACTGTAAAAGACTTTTGCCATTTTTGAAAGGATCAACAAGAGAATCAAGAAAACTTTAATGAATATTTGGAAAATAGGAACCAACGAATCAATATCTTTCCACCCTTGCCCTTATCAATCAAATTTCAGAAATACAGATGTATTGGACCAGTTATTTTTCAACTTTCATACAAACGAAATGAACGCCTGATTCTGAAAGCATTCTCTTATGCCGATATAAGCATTATCGACAAGTTATCCCACGAATCAATCGTTTTGCATGAAGTTCATCATCATCAACAAAGTTGTGAACTGTACAAAACTCATTTTATTCACACAAAGAGAGTAGAGGGTTAGCCAAAGGCTATCCTTCTAATGATTAACCAACCTACAATATACTCGTGTAGTATGCGTATAACTAGAAACAAGGAACGAATCATTTCGGGACCCTACAATAATCAACTGCGATTTGAATTCTGTTTGAAAATTATGAAATGAGTCATTAATTATACTTTGGAGCAAAAAAGAAAAAACAACCTTTGTGTTGCTACCTCTCTACTGGATATGCACCATAGTTGAAAGGACGCGTCAACATCATCAACCAATGGCCACTCCTCACACCGTGGGAATAGTGAGTATTGGTTCCGAAAATAATGTGCCCTGAGCAGACGCAATGAGCAAAGAATAATAGTTTTTTATTTTACATTTTTTTCATACTAATTTCTTAGTGATATGCA